TGTTACAGAGTTTATGCATTTTCTGATTTCTGCCTTTGAATGAGCAAGTGTGTGCGTTCCAAGGTTGGAGTCAAACGAAAAACAAGTTGTTATGTTAAAACTGTCATGTTTTAGAATCCTCTCAGACGTAAATATAGATGTTTTGCACCTGTTTCTGAAACACGCCAAAACAAAACTCTCTCTGTCTGTGAGAACATTTCTGATCTGTCTCATAACAATTCTCGCTGTCTCTAACCTCTTACGTCACAAAACACACCCCGTCTGGTCGTTTCTGACCAATGAACAAATCCCAAAAGTGAACCGGGAAAGAGTCTTTAAAATGTCGGTACTTCCTGGTCTATTCAGTTCTGTGGGAGTTCTGTAAACTACACAAGAGTGCTAAAGTTCTGATGGAGTTCTGCTAAGTCTGGTATGGTGCTGGAACCGTTCTGGGACAGCTCTGATGGAGTGCTGTTGGAGTTCTGCTGGATACACAGTCCAACCAGTTCTGTTCATGTTCTGATGGAGACGGGATGATCCTGACATGACAACAAGCTCTTCCGAGTTCCATGGGATTATAACATTTTCCACTGAGGTGAATAAGTGTCGAACAGAGCCTCGCCATTACTTCGGACGAGTAACAGCATCCTACTGGGACGCTGAAAGGGTGCGTTAAACGGAATCTCACCTGAGACATCTCCAGGTAAAGGAGCCGATTTCATCACCTAAGTGTACTGTAAGGAAAAGCTGAAGAAAGCCGGAGAGTGTCGATTCTGGTGAACACTTAATTTCCCTCACACACCATCTTACTCCCTCTAAACTTCTTTCCATCTTTAAACTTTTCTATCAAGTAGAAATTCTTCCAGATATTTTAGAAATGTCTGTGTAAAATGCTCACCCACATTCATGTGGGTAAAAGATCATAATTGTACAGTTTATAAATGTCTGTGGTGCAGCAACGGAAGAATCATGGCCGTATGATTTTTCCTGATTGATTGCTTATGTTGTTATTTTCATAATTTGCCAAATTAATGTAAATGTTTGATGTTAAATTTTGATTCTGTAAATAAATGACCGCATTCATTTTGATGGGTCAAACATAAATGACGTCTCACGTTACATTTCCTTAAATTCAATGCACGTTTTATTCAGTCCAGAAAAATGAGGAATCCGTGTTAAATGATGAATATATCCCAGCATCTGTTCGTCTACAGTAAGATGGAATCAACAATAAGCAAAAAAGAAAGGTAAAAAAATCAATTAGTTGAAATTGTAGAAAAATTTTGTGATGAGTCATTATATTTGGTTTTAGATCCAGTGGTGTAAAGGTTTTTTTTTTTTTTAAGCTATTTATTCATCCATCCATCCATGCATCATCTTTACACAATTCTTTCTTTTTGGGTTGCTGGTGTCCAGCAGACACTATGCAAGAAGCAGGGTACACCCTGGACAGATCTCCAGTCTACGCAAGGACACACAGAGACAAACAAGTACTCACACTCTCGCCTAGGGACAATCAGTGAGCCTAAAATGCATTATTTCGTATAACTGCGGGAGGAAACCGGAGTACGTGGAGAAAACTTGGAAATGCACAAAGGGAACATGCAAACTCCACACAGAAAGGTTCCAGGCAGGATTTCGATTCAGCAAGCTTCTCGCTGAGAGGCGTCAGTATGTGCTACCATGTTGTCAGCATGTCTTCAAGTTCTACAGAAGCCTGTTAATCACTTATTCATTGACATCAGGTGTGTTAAAGCAGAGAAATGTAAAAAAAAAAAAGTGCAGGATATTGGACCTAGGGGATCAGGGATAGGAACCACTGATGCACAAATTGGGATGGATGGATGGATTGAATGATTGATTGGTTAGTGGATGGGTGGATGGATGGATTAGGGGCGTGACTTGTTCCAGTTGTAAGGAGGTCAGCTTTGTCATGCCTAAGTGCCCTTGAGCAGGACTTGAACACACAATTTCCCCAAAAGGTTTATTCTCTATAGTGTGCAAAACATATAATATATAATCACTGTGTGTGTGAATGAGTGAAAGGATTAAGCTGTTAATGGGAATAATAAGGAACCTTTGAAGTCCCCTCTCATTTTTTACACATTTTTCTTGCAAAGAAAGTCTCAAACAACAACAAATCCTCAGCAGGATACTTTAAACGACAGCTATAAAATGAGGAATGTTGTTGTAAAAGGAAAAAAAAAAGATGAATAGCCTAAATTAATACCAAGGTTAGGCTGGAAATGTTTGGAAGGTTCAGTTGACACTAATGACTAATTCTCACTGGGTTAAAATCACAATAACTATAAT